TTTATATTATAAGGGCGATGTTTGCCTTTAAGTAATATCTTATTAAAACCAGGACAGCAGCACAAGAAAAAAAGAATTGGAGATAAGGCTGAGCTCACAAACATGTATCCGTCTTCCATTCCTCAATGTATTCCTAAGGCTGAAGGTTTTTGCATGAACAGGAGCAACAAAACATGTCACGCCCTGCACTCCTGACAAATTTGTTTGAAAAAACAAGTTATGCAAACTGTAACCCATGGCTAAGCACGCTCTAAATACCAATTATCCACAGAGCTCCATTTAAATTTAGCAGTAAGAAAAATTCTACTTTTTTGTATTCACATTTATTTTTCAGAGTCAATTTGAGATGACCAGTCTCCTGGGTAACACTTTATATATCCATCAATATTAAAGAGTAGATTGAGAGGTACATCCTTAACCTGGGTTTTGCATTCTTCCACTTCTTGCAACATTACTAGGTTGTTTGTTTTTATATCAACTGCACCTCAATATATTGGGGAAATAGTGCGTGCATGTGTGATTGCATGTGTGTGCGTATGTGTGCGTTTGTATGTAGATTACCCTGTTATTATTCTATACGCCCATTGTGACCGTCTTACTGCATGCAGTCTTAAGGATTGTAAAATGCAAATACACTTTTTTTCTATATCTTTTATGTAGATATAGGTAAGGGAATTATGAATCATTATGATGATGATGATGATGATGATGAATGAACCCTTTTACCAGAAAAAAAAAAAAAAGCAAAGAATGTTTTAAAGAACAGATAGGAATAAAGAAGACCTTTTTTTTTTGCAATAAGGATGAAGATACATGTCTCTAATATAAGTGTTTTAAAAAGTCACAACAGAGGCTGGAAAAATCCAAGCCATCTTCATGTTTGGGTGAGTAGATGTAGATGTGTAGATGCTGACAGATTTGTTTGATTAAAATGGCATTGCATTCCCTGCATTGGTTTTTCTCAAGTCCATAAAGCATCATTGTCATGCTGCTCATGCCCAAAACGAAAAATGGTAACACACATAATAGACTATACTCAAGATGGGTTTCAATCCAACAGCAATTTATCACAGGGTTATTGCATTAAATATTCTGACATACTGGTTATTTACTGTTTGTGTAAAATAATCAGTGTGTAGGCTGTACTTGCATAACAATATCTGAACAGTACGGAAGAGGATTAGGGCCACATTCATATTTTTTTTGGGAGGATTTGAAAAAAATATGTTTTTCTTTTGTTCTGAGAAAAAAGTCAGAATTCTGACTTTAATCTCAGAATTCTGACTTTTTTCTCAGAATTCTGACTTTTTTCTTGGGAGAAAAAAAATTCTGACTTTTTTCTCAGAACAAAAATTATTTTAATTTTTTTCAAATCCTCCCAAAAAAAAATCATGCGGCCCTAATCCTCTTCCGTAGAACAGAACATGCTCTGATTATTATATATATTTTAATGCTTAACACATTGCAGTAAAATATGCCTTTCAGTTCAGTATCTTTGTTCACATTTGTGTTCAAGTATATAACGAGAGCTTTATGCCTGAATATCCCACAGTACTTGCAAAGTGCATACCGTATTTTCACAGAATTAAGCAGAATAATCCTTGTCAAGGTCTCGTCTTTCTCTATGTCCCTCACTTCTCACTCGGCTAACCCCTCTCACCCACACTCCTCGTTTCACATCTCGCTCTCTTTTCCCCTTTGTATCTAATCAGAGTTATTCAATACAAAGGGGTTGAGAAAGACCTTGAATCAGAAGACTGAAAGTTGAGGGCTGAAGTAACTAAGCATTCAGTTATACAAGTTTAGTTTGCAAAGTGTGTCTGTGTGTGTCTGTGTGTGTGTGTGTGTGTGTGTGTGTGTGTGTGTGTGTGTGTGTGTGTGTGTGTGTGTGTGTGTGTGTGTGTGTGTGTGTGTGTGTGTGTGTGTGTGTGTGTGTGTGTGTGTGTGTGTGTGTGTGTGTGTTACGGTGTGGGTGGTTTTCTGTCATTTCTATATAACTTAAGATGACAGTACAGTGTCATATCTGGAATGTGGTACTTTTTAAATCTTCATCTTTGTCTAAACTGTAGCCTATGAAGATAATAAGATTGTCAATTATAAACTTTATTCTCTCCATGTTCAACTCTTTTTCTTTGTCCCTCACTTAATCATTTGCTTCCACCTCCTGTGACAGATTATCCTACACAGTATACACCAAGATTAACGCATACGCCAATACAACACGTACATCCCACGCTTACAACACTACTCACACAAACATCTATTTGTTTATCCATCTTCATCAGATAAATTATCCACAGTGTACACCAACATGAACATACATCTAAATGCATACCTCCTACGCTTACAACACACACATAGATGCATACAAACAGGCACACACTGTAAAAACAAAATACACCCAAAATGTGTTGAAATCAAAAAGGCTCAGCATTAGAGGGATGGATACACACAGCCTCTGCCATCATGATGGGGATGATGCCTGATAGAGGTATAATCTTTAGAACATGCAGCTATAAGGCTGGAGGGCCACTAACTCATGGGTTAACCCTAAAAGGGTGTGGTCGGCACATGCAGGTGTTGCCCATAAAAATATGCTGTGAAAAATTGTGCTGTGTTTTAGTATGTGTCCTCTGTCACGCTTCAGAAACGGTTTCCTGTTTCTTATTGCCTGGGGAACCATGGCAACATGGTGACCATGAAATGATGGATGTCACTTCTCTATTTGTGTGTGTGAGAGAGGGAGAGAAAGGAGAGGAAGGGGCAAGCCTGTGTCTGTGTGAGTGTTAAATGAAAAGCTTTCAGGGGATGTATTGAAATAGGGGCTAGTCTTGTGTTATTTAAAATAAATGTATATGCCACTTTAAAAAGCAAATACGTAGACAACATATATGCGCCTATATATTGAGGAAAAACAAGACATAACCCACAGAATCAGATCAAATACAAAAAAAATAGGTTGTTCTCTTTCTTTTTCACACATCTTTTCACATTTGCTCTCTCTTTATCTCACTATTAGTTGGCAGGTATGACAATGCCAAGCAACAGACCTGAAAACACAGATGTTGAATAGCACATCAGCACCATCATTACCCTCGCAGCTAATGCCTCACTACATCCTGAGCCGCAGCCGAGTTGCCAATGAGGCAGCAAGGCTCCTGGACATGTAATTCACGTTGTAATTTGTAATCACTAAGGATGTTCATCAAATCCAACCACTCTCTAAAACATTTTTGGAACAATATCAGCCAGCATTTCTGAGTAATTGGAGATGTGTTGAATCAAGACTATTGGTTTAAAAAGAATGACATAAGCATCTTATTTTAATTTTTTTGGTTGTCTCTCCTTACATTTTTTTTCTACAAAAGTGAGGGTTGTCATTCATCACCATCAGGCTTTTATCTGTTTTCTTCTTGCTTCTTGTTTTGAGCAAATTCTTTATCAGTGGCATTACTGGGCTTTTTTTCATTTCTACTGTTTTATTTTGCTCGTTGTTGCAGTGACTTCTGCTCCAGAAGACAAAACAAGTAAAATATACAGAGGACACGTGGTTCATCTTTGATAATTCAAGGCCTGAGTCGTAAAAACCATCATACATTTGAAGACAGTATGTCAAGGCTAGTATCAATCACTGGCAATCAAATGAGCCCATACTGATATACAGTAATAACGTTGCCCTGTAGAGTCACATGCCAATATACAGCAGCCAGATATGAATATAATGGCAACACATATCACTTCACTATGTTTTTTGCCCCTCTATTTATTATCATGGGTCAATGAATAAACCAACAATTCCCATAATCGTCGTATTTTCTGTCCACAAATGATAGTGTATTCTTCTACCAATAACCATTACCCTGCTGCCACCCACGAGTAAATAAATCCAACACAGTTAAGATTGCTTCTATAAAGAGTCCTGGTTTTGTCCTTGCACATTATATTATTAATTGTTGCCTCAGACCTCTGTTGCAATTAAATTGCAATGCTTCATGCGCTGATGATCTGATGGAAAGAGGACATGATTCCTGCAGCTGTTGCAGTCCGGTAACCCGCTATTTTAAGATGTGCACCACCATGAGGATTGGTGGGATTTGGCAGCCCTGAGGACATTCAGTGATGTAGAGAGGAGAGAACTTTAAATTACCGTGGTATTTTTCAGGGAACTGTGTGTGTGTGTGTGTGTGTGTGTGTGTGTGTGTGTGTGTGTGTGTGTGTGTGTGTGTGTGTGTGTGTGTGTGTGTGTGTGTGTGTGTGTGTGTGTGTGTGTGTGTGTGTGTGTGTGTGTGTGTGTATGTGTGTCCAATAACTCATGGTTTTAGCTCTCCTGATAATCAGCACTGCATACACAGGAGAGAATGCTGAGTCCTAACCAACCAGTCAAATTTCAACGAGAGCACAGTAGTTTCTGTGAATGATGCTGGTTGCATGACCTTTAATCACCAATGGACGTGCAGGTTTTTAGATTACAGTGCATGTCGTGTGCTTAATGTGGCTTTGACAATGCACCCCACCTGTGTGCGGACCTGGCAGCTGAAAGCAAACAGAACGGAGGGCAATCAATCTCCACACCAAACTGCGGTGTGCTGTGGATTTCCAGAGACGGATTCCTCTTCCCACTGTGCAGGTGCAGTGAGGAGGTAAACCTGACTGTTCCCAGGATAATGTCACCACACCGGCAGAAATTTCACTGTGTGCAATGAGCTCGCAAAAATAAATAAGGTCCATTCTGTCAGTTTGAATATGGTCACTTGTGAAAGCTTTAAGCCCCCATAATGTCATCAGTCTTGATCAGCAGCTCACTGTACTGAAACTAATACGGGGAATGTTTCTACAGTGTCAACATATTGGCATTTCAACGATCTGTTGAAACCTTTAAAAAATAATTGTGAAATTAATATTCTAAACATTTCTCGAGGAGAGTGTAACCCAGGTTAAAAACCTTCATTCCTATCAGGCTCCCGTAGCTCAGTATAAATGGCAACCAGGTCACTTCCTTGGCTGGTCGCTACGTTGATGCTACACACAGGGATTCCTCCACGATTCCTAAACAGATTAACGTTTTGTTAACAATTGCTGCAATCAGCGGTGAGTCTTGTATTGGTAGAATGTATTTAAAATGTGTAATGTTATTGCAAAATGCCCGAAATGTGCCCGCTAGCTTAGCGGTTAGCGGTTGGCATTTTCAATAGGAAATCTACATTGAAATAGCTCCCGTTAGCTTAGCAACTAGCGGTTAGCATGCTAATAGTATTGCTAGTAGAAATATCTTATGCATGGGTCTTCACTGATCCCAATTACTTTAAGTGTAACCTTGTGGGCTTTTGGCTATCAGCCCTGAAGTATTGTTTTGCTGTTTACTGGCTGAATTTAAACAGATTAATGTTTTGTATAGAAATGGATATAGAAATGTTGTAGGCCTACAACCAGAAATTAATTTATTTTATTTAAGAGATTTATTATACAACTGATGTATTTATTTTATTTAAGAGATTTATTATACAAGAGATGTATTTATTTTATTTAAGAGATTTATTTTTATTTAAATGCTTAAAGGGGAAGATACTAATTATTCCTTGTGACCTTTTACAGGTCAGGTTTTTTGTTTGGATATATTTTGTTTGCCACCTGATGACCTTTCATGGACCTTGATGGCGAGCTAAGATTCTAAACCTATCCTCCTGGGCACCTGAAAATAATCATGTGAATTTTAATGAACTTGTTGATATCTTGAATACAACTATTTTGTAATGCATACCTGGTTTCAGTTTGTATTTTTCACACACATTGAGCTCTATAGTCGTTCCTAGTTCTTCTGAATATCACTCATTTAATTACAGCTAATACACTTGCTACAAGAGCAGTATCTTCATCAACAGAAAGATAACAATTAAAAGGACTAGTGAATTCTATTGATCAGCAAATGCAAATAAGGAGCACTGAAAATACTTTACAATTGTGTGCCACAATTCATGGAAAATACAGATGTCATCCTTGAAACCCTTGTTAAATCAGTATATGTTGATGATCATAAACATGTGAAACCTTTAACCTGCGCCTTTTAGTTGCACATGTATTATTAATCAAAGCAAAGAGAGATAGAAGACACTTTAACTTAGATGCATTTGTGAATTGATTGTTAAGCCTATGCTGCAAAGATGAAAGCGTTGGACAATCAAAGTAATTACAAGACAACACAATGCTATGATTCATGAACGAAGCAATCATACCATTCTTTATATATTTTTTAATTAAAGTTTTTGAAACATATATTTTTTATTTTCATCACAATCATTTTAGCAGAACTCAACTTCACTCCCATGAGTCTGGAATATTTGACATTAATCACTTTAATGCAAGCAGAGCTCTCTGTCTTTGCCCACAAATAATATGTGCCTCGGATATTAAACATGCCACCAAAGAATGAATAAAACATTCACAAGGAAACTACTTTTGAACAAAGGAATTAAAAATGCACTTGAATTAGCATACAGATGTAGCGCTTCATTTCAGACAGTTTGAAACGCGAGGGCCGTGATTGGTACGTGATCTGCCCTCGCTCAAGGGAAAACCTCCAGCTTGACTTGAGACCTCCCCCGTGATAAATAAATGTAAATGAAGCCAGCTGTAATGGATCATTGATCCACCAGGGGGTGCAGTGGGGTTCCACACTGGAGCTCATGTGAAATAAAGTCAGATACAGTACGCTGGATGTACAGTGGAACTTTGTTAAGATCCATATGTCACGGATATCATACTCTGTGCTAAATAAGAGACATGTAATCATTTACAAAACATCACCATGTTGTTATTTAACAAAATAATGTTGTTTAGTCGAAAAAAACGAACGGGAGGAAATGCAGCTCGGCTCTCGATTTTTAATCCTAATTTAATCATCTTCACCACTATAATTTATATTTATGTTCGCCGAATTGACATGAAATCACTGACACATATGAATATACTGTATTCAACTTCATTAAAACGTTATTAACATGCCTAAATTCAGTAATTCACTAAAAATATTTATATTTTAATGGAGCCTCATTGGCAGATCAGGATCCCAACGGTTAGCGGAGGGCTCTTGATCAGCTGAAGGGTGTTATTTTCCCCATAAGGAACAAGTCGCTGCAAATGATCCCGCTTATTACATGGCCACATTCTCAACAAAGTAACGACATGACTCCCAATATTAATTGAAATGCTTTTATGGATTTAGAAAATGTTTTTATTGATTTAAAAAATAGTTGTATGTATTGATTTAAATTGACATGCATCCGCTAAGAAAAATAGTCCGTTAACGTTTTTTAAACAGTCTGAATGAAACGGCAGCTCTCAGCTGTGTATTTACACAACTAATGGCCCATCAACCACTGCTCTCTCCCCCCCTCCCCGCCTGATCTTTCTTCTCCAGCAGCTAAATTAACTGTAGGTTACTCTGAGTGACAAGCTTACAGTTAGACACAACACTGTCATTGCAAGTGACCTTCAGTTAGTTGACTTTTATGTTCAACTGCTAAATTCGTTACTGATAAAAAAGGGCTTCTACTGTACCTTATTACATTACATTGCATTTAGCTGACGCTTTTATCCAAAGCGACTTACAATAAGTACATTCGACCAGGAAGACACAACCTTGAAGAAAACAGAATCATATAAGTACATCAGGTTTCATAGAGCCAAACATTTCAAGTGCTACTCAACTGGCTATAGATAAGCCAGTCCTTTATCAGTATATAAGTGCTTTGTTAATAAATCTATCGCTCGAGGTGGAGTTGAAAGAGATGAGTTTTCAGTCTGCGCCGGAAGGTGTGTAAGCTTTCTGCTGTCCTGATGTCAATGGGGAGCTCATTCCACCATCTTGGAGCCAGGATAGCAAACCCACGTGTTTTTGCTGATGGGAACTTGGGTCCCCCTCGCAGCGAGGGTGCAGCGAGTCGTTTGGCTGATGCAGAGCGTAGTGCACGCGCTGGGGTGTACAGTTTAACCATGTCCTGGATGTACGAAGGGCCAGATCCATTCGCAGCATGGTAAGCAAGTACCGGTGTCTTGAAGTGGATTCTAGCAGTTACCGGAAGCCAGTGAAGGGAGCGGAGGAGCGGAGTGGTGTGTGAAAATTTAGGAAGTTTGAAGACCAAACGAGCCGCTGCATTCTGGATGAGCTGCAGAGGTCGGATGGCACATGCAGGTAGACCAGCCAGGAGGGAGTTGCAGTAGTCTAGGCGTGAGATGACGAGAGCCTGGACCAGAACCTGCGTCGCTTTCTGTGTCAGCTGGGGACCTATTACCTTAACACTAGAACCGCCATAGTTTTTTTTATAGGCCTACCTAACACCGTCAAATCCCGCTATTAGAATGCCATTTTTAACAACATAACATAACACATAACACACTTTCAGGAAAAGTCACGGACTGGGAGACTTTAATATTTTATTGAAAAAAAGTTACATTGCACACACAACACACCCGATTAGCGGTTCTAGTGTTAAATAAACTCACTAATTAATGAAACCAGTTCAATACGCATTATTATTATTCTTATCATTCTTTATGAGCGCAGAAATAGTCTTAAAATCAGAACTGTTTTTTAAATGAAATCTGACGGCAGGCAGTTAGCTCTGATCACCTATGATAAATGCGCCACACCTAATCGCTGGCCATTCAGCCATAGAGCTCCCTCTATACCAGTGGTTCTCAACTGGTGGGTCGCGACCCGTTTGAAGTGGGTCGCGGATGTGTGAGTGAAGAAAACATTTTATTTTTTTTTGAGGAAAAAGTCAAACTTTTATTTTGAAGGCCCGAGTTTCTAACGCTGTGCATGCAGTCGGCGTTGGACTGGAAATACCGGAGACCATAAACGGTTTTGAAAACTTCTCTCACATAGTGATCATCTTCTCAATAAAATATCTTTGCTGATGTTTTTTCGAGTCTTCTGGCCAATCAGAATCAAGATTGTAGCCGGAAGTCCCCACGGAGAATAACTTTGCGGTAGAACTCTTCTTTATACATCCATGGTTACAACTTCAGATAGAAATGAACACATAATGAAATATATGACCCCGGTCTGATGACTGACAGGTCACAGAACAATGGGAGCTATCTACCCTTACCCACAATTGAAAGTAAGTCACACAGACTATCTCCTCTTTACTCTTCTCGCGGCAAGATGTCAGAACAAAGTGAAAAACGAACAATGGCATAAAATATTATTAATATGTCGGGTAGTGATAGATTTATTTATTTTCTTCTCAGTGTACCAGAATGCATAGTTTATGTTAGTATTTCTAAAAATCTCCTGGGGGACAATCCCCCCAGACCCCCCTGCTGGGGTTGGGTTTTCAGCATGCGTGCCTTTTTATATAGTTCAGCTTTGATTCCATCATCTCATTAAACCTTTTTTAAAAGCATACTTTAGTTCTGTGAAGGGATATAAGGGATATATGCACTGTACTTCACTTTTATTAATATTGTATGCTGAAAAGCGTATATATTACAGCACGATTTTTTGTTGAATAGATTTGAGTGCTTCAAAATGTTGGGTCGCGATGTATTGACCAAGTAAAAAGTGGGTCCCGAGGCCTGACCAGTTGAGAACCACTGCTCTATACAAATCAAACTGTAGACGGTGTGAAAGCACCTATTGTTTTAAATAATGGTCGGAATATGACATCCGAGCCTTCTGAATTACCGTGGGACAGCACATTCGAAATTAAAATGTTCAATCAATAAAGTAACATCTTATCTTAATAATATCTTCATATTAATAATAATAATAATAAATCATACAGTATGTGTCCGAAAGGGAGCAGGAGGAAGCAAACACAAAAATATACCAAAAATATACTGCATATTAAAGCAAACGATTGTAAAGGTAAAAGTATGAGCATAACAAATAAAGAAGTGTAATGTAAACATTTACATTATTATTATGATTATTGAATATATGAAGACTATATTATTGAATTACAAGATTAGATATACTTTAGTTGATCTAAAATATTGATGTGTTCAAATGCTCTTCAAAACACAACTGCAAGTCCATGAAACTTGTCTTTCTGTATTTGTGAATGACGCGCCATCTCCTGGTTAAAACCTGAAATTGAAAATCTGGCAACGCCCTCTTGGAAAATAGTGGGAGGGCTTAACATTCCTCGATACTGGTCTTAGGCAGGAAGCTGTAAGCTGGTGTCTGAAATGAGGTGCTACATCTGTATGTCTTGAACTCGAACAGAATAAGAAAAGCTGAGAGGAAGGTTCCCTTTGTGTATGTCAAAATAAGTCTAGCTGTGAAACAGAGAGCGGGAGAGGGATCAGTGTCTCATGGTTATGTGATAATGTGCTTCAAGGCCACAGTGCTGTACACAGAGGAAGGCTTCTTAAAATGCTCTTTGTGAGCTGTGCGAAAACAGTTGTGTGTGAGTTTAGTAATGAATGCATCAGTGTGTTTTTATTGAAACACTTTGGCACTAATTTAATAATTTTTTGTTTGCAGATGCATGTCATTTTATCTGCGTCTCTGATGAAACATTCTTGTACCCATTTGTTGATAACTACCAAATTATTTGAAACCCCTTCAGGAAATAGATTGTAAAAACATATAGAAACACTACATAGATATATGGACCAGAAACCAATTATTAAGCATTGAAAAACTAAATAATGTTTATACATGCTTTACTACAGTAATTGATGTGTAGCCATTATGACAAGGTATGATATCATCAGTTGCAATTTTATAATAGATATCCAAATAATTT